GTAAACCATGTTCAATGAAAAATGAGTAGTCTTCCTCAGTGGAAAGAAAAGAAATCAAGCTATAATTGTGATCAAGATTTTTTTGGGGAAAAAAAAAAAAAAAAAAACAAAGCATACACAAAGCTTATAATTATGTCTCTCATTCATTGGATAGGCCAATGGATGGAAGGCATGCACCTGTAAGTAACACTCATAGAGGACTAATGGCTTTAGTAAAACACTCCATTTCTCTTCATATCCCAACATTACCAAAGCTCTTAGCACTTGGATCCTAGTTACACACACTGCCCAATGAATTAAAAATCTTTGGGCAGGCAGAGATGAAGTATATATATTATATATATATTTTTTTTTTTTTTATGACGTGGATTACATATGGTTAGAATGCTAGTATAAGTAAAATTAAGAGTGCTTCTTATGAGGAATGAAGTAAAATGGGAAAAACAACAGATTTTTCACCATTTGAAAAAGGCTTATTATTGGTGCCCATTTAGCAGGGGGCTGATTTGAAGACAGCAAATCTGAGTTCTCAAAAGCAGCCATATCAACGGTTTTCAAAAGCTGGATTTTAATTAAAGATTTTAATGCACACCACTGAGTTTGAACTTCAGCAACATTAATAATCAAGGATGCATAATTTACAAATTTGCCCAAGTGCCCAACATTACAATTGTAACACCAGATGACCTAACACTGTGGTATTAGCTGTTTGTCTAATGCTGATTTCTTCCTACTTAAAAATATCAACACGCAGAGCTATACCAGGAGCAGGTGTAAACTCTTATTAGATCATAAGACAGTTATGGTCAAAATCAACAGCAATAACTAGAGTACACCACAGAAAAGCCCTTATCACGAACTGGGTAGGGTATTCCAAAGTTCTGACCAACACTTAGTACTTCCCCCCCCCAAAAAAAAGAACAAGAAATGAGTTAGATATTTTAAATAATGAATTTACTAATGAATTGCATCTCGTCCTTCTCAAAAACAGCAAAGTAACTATAGAAAATAATATAAAAATGCCTCCACCTGGGAACTCATCAGATATCGTAGTCATGCTAATAAAAATATAATAAAATAAAATAAAATAAAAGAGCTAAAGGTCTTGCGGCCCATACGATAAAAGAATTATGAACCAGCTAAATCAGGATGCCAGAAATGTTATCAAAGAACGTGAATGACTTCACAATGAGATACTTGGAATCACATTCCTGACATGGTAATTCACTCCCAATTGCTGTTTTGAAGTATGAAAGATCCAACACAAATATTCTTCCCCTTAATGGCCCCAGCAGAATCACTTAATGGATTTTGAGAAAGCTGAATCTCTCGCAGATAACTATACAGAAAGTCGGGGAGGGGGATATGTCTGAAATCGGGTTGATGGGAGTAGTGTCTGAAATTGGGAGAGCTGGCAACTCTGCATTATTTAATAATCTTATCAAAATTCATTAAACTAGAAATTTTTAATTCTTACAAGTAATTATGTGAATTTGCTATGTACACCCCTTTAATGGCTGCATATGTGTAAATACTAAATGGTCGTTATCAAGGCAGAAAGTACTCAGACAATTGAGTTCTTTTTTGAGAGCTGATTTGGTAAACATTTACACAGATGGTTCAGTTGAGACTATCCAACAGGGTAGAGCTGGTATTCACATCACTCTACCAAATGGGCCAACTGTACTCCAAAGTCACGAAGCAGGCAACATTGCTTCTAACTTCACATGTGAATTAAGAGCAATCCAGGAGGCTCTGAGAATTTACATGGACTTAAATCATAACGATAAAGCCAGATGACTTGTAATTTTCTGTGACTCTAAAGCTGCTCTAGAGGCAATACTACAAGGACATTCAAGACTCAGCCAGGATGTACACCAACACCTAGAAATAATTAACCAGATGGGAGAGACATGTATTGTGTAATGGATATCTGCAGATGTTTGAATCTATGGAAATGAGGCAGCTGATGTACTGGCTAAAAAGGCAACAAATCTCAACAACTCAATCTCTGTCACTCTTGAAGATGCTAATGCCAGATATAGACTCAAAGAGAAATCTATTAAGAAAGACCCTACCATCAGATATGTGAGATTAATACAAATAGAGAAATTAAAAATTAATCATTACTAGTCTGAGAACCTGCCATTTTATAGAAGAATGAAAATTAATGAAGATGGTACCAGATGATATAGAACTTGTAGAAACTGCCCCAAAACCGAACTTTATGCAGAACACATCTTTAGGTGTCCGGCAATACTTGCAGCTCTGCAAAGCTTGGGGGAATTCCCTTTTCAGGGAGAACTGTATATTGAAAAGATCGTGGAACTGGCAAAAGCTGCAATTTTCACGCATGGATCCATTCGAGTTCTCAAAGGTCACGACACCAGCCAACCAACCAACTTTAATGGTTGGCATACATGTAAACTCACATGTATGCTTCACTATATGAATTTACCTCAGAATCACACCAAAATGCTGCAGTTAAGTTATATGACAAATTTGCAGTCATTCTTTATTTGACTCCAGATGCAGGCATTGTTTCTGTTAGCTTTGCTTGTGGTTTCTGGTATGCAGGTACAGAATTTTATTCACCTGATTAATTCAGTAAATTGTATTCATCATTTATACTGATAATTTTAACCATCACAAATTTTACCTTCTTGTGTTATGAATAGAACTGAAAAAGTTTGAAGTTTTTAAATCAGCTAATAGAAAAAATAGATAACATTTTCTTTATGAACTTTACATTTACGTGTATAATAGTAACCTTTTAATAATGATACCTAAAAATATTTTAAATTCCAACTTCTTTCAGGGTTCATAGCCACATTTTAGTTAAAAAAAATAAGCACTGGTGCCTCTCAGCACTTTTCGACCCCAGGTAGCACAAGTCTAATTACATTATACACAAATGCATAACCTTAAAGAAAAATAGACTGCAATTTAAAATATGAGCATGCAATATTATCAAAGAATAGCATTACCTCACCATGGAAAACACTGTTTTTTTTTTTTTTTTTATTTATTTTATTTTTTTTAAATTTAAATGACATTCATTTACAATTTTACAATGCGAAAAAAAAAAAAAAAAAAAAGAACTATGGCAGACTAAACTTATTACAAGATTTAATGATGAAATTTCCGTCAAAATATAAATAAATAATAATAAGCCTATTAATTGTTTCACTTGGCATCTAATAATAAATCAATTTATTTTCCACTCTATAATATTTAAATATTAAATCAAATTCTGAACATTTTCTAATTTTCATTGCTAGCAGTTTTCCTTAATCATATTCAAGCAAGTAATTTAAGTAAAGAGGACATCTCTGAATCAGGAGACGGAATTGCTTCATGCAGTCATCCTTAAACAGTACAGCTTCCTAACCCGCATACTCTTAAATGCCGAATATTCCGTTAGTCGAGCGTACTGTAAAAGTGGAGGGGGAGAATGTAGCCGTTCTTTAGATTCTCAGCTAAATTAAATGATTTGACATTTCGTATGTTCATCATATAAAAATCGACCAACTGAACTGAGAAATATCTGCTTAGAAAGCACAGTAAACTCTTTTAAGTGTTCATAATAAATCTCAGCTGACATCAAAATTAATATGTCTCAAAATATCAAAAATTTTGCCGCATACGTGCGGCGCATTCTTCCATATGTGATTACGCAATCAGAATCAACAACTGCCGTATGCGGAGAATAAAGAACGAAAACGGAAAGAAAGAGACTTACATCTGGGGTTTTTTTATCCTATTTTGAAAGTGTTAAATTCCGCAATTCATTCTCGCGTGGGTGGTAGACCGCAAAACTTTAGTCTATTCAATCCAGATGGACTGACTGACAAAAAAAAAAAAAAAAGAATCGCTTTCAATACTAGGATTTGCGGAGAAAGGGAGAACTCCCAACCTACGACTGTATAAGTATTGGGGTGGGGGATATTCTGACTATTGATTACGTTCCTTTATTTAGCCATTCCGAATATATTCCTTAGAAAGTAACTGTGTAAAATACACCCATTTGGAATTTACTACACTTCAGGAGCTATGCAACTATATTACTATAAATTCATACATATCTATATAAGCATAACGATCATAATAAACACGATTATGAAACGACCACACGGAACGAGAATGCAAATTATTAAAATCGTGATAGAAATTCAAACGTTTGTAGTATTTGGGTGGGCAGAAAAGAATACCGAATTACCGAAATTTTCTACGGTTTTCGCAATTCTTTGACCAAACGAACGACGCGCACCTGTCTATACTCTCGCGCGCACCATAGGTTACGTTAATGCAGAGAGAGGGGGAAAAGCTATTTCCGGGAGTATGATTCACAATTTGACGTTCCATATAAGGAAGAAAAGTTGTTTATTTAGTTTCGACTTTGGTACGGGAGGAAAAATGCACGTTCATTAAAAAAAGCACTAAAGCAAAAATATGCACTAAATAATATAATAATAATAATAATAAGGCTTTAAGAAAAAGTAAGCACTATAAGGGCCCTTATATTTATTTTCAATAAATTATAAGCACTTGTAAGACGGCTACGAACCCTGTCTTTGAAGTACATATTCAAGGATTCACAAAGGTGATATTTCAGTAAAACTGCTTATTGCCACCACTTTTATATACTCATATATTTTTTTCACCATTTCCAATATTTATTTACAATTCTACATGCATAGTTGGGTCCCAGATAAAATAGTAACTTTATGAAATATACGTCATTAAAAGAAAAACTAAATTTCACACTTTTTACTGATGATGTATCTATTTAATAAATATATACTTATATATGTACCACATTTAGAAAAAATGTAGTACATAAATATGTGTACCACATTTAGAGTATTTGGAGAATTTAAGAATTTCTGAAAAAATTATCTTGCTTGCTTTTTTAATTTAATAGGTTGTCAGGTATAAATTTTAGAAATAGTTTGGCTTTTTTTTTTTTCTATTTCATTAATTAATAATAAAATAACTACATACTTTTAGTTCTTGTACCATGTTGTGAAGTTTTCTTCTTGTACTCTCTTCATTACGTAATTTAGATTCCAAGCCTACCACTTGCTGTAAAAGATCTGTAATTTCTTTTTCTTTATTTAATTTTTCAGCTTGTAACTGCTTCATTTCTTGTCTCAATGCTTCAAGCATATTCTAAAAAATTACATGCTAGCTCATAAAAACAAAAATTAAATAATCAAAAGTTTATGCTTCTATAACACTAACATAGAAACAATATATGAAGCATTACACATCACCAAATAAATCAGACATATAAAATCAAACAAAATATTCAAAACTAGCTTATAATGCATTCACATGAGTGATAAAAAACTTTTATGAACATTCAGTTATTAATAATAAAAAAATAAAGGAAGAAATCTGTTATATTTGAGTGCCTGCCATCCTCAGTATAGGTTAGCAGACTTTATCTCAGGAAAACAAAATTTTTAAACTTCCCCAGGCGAACAAATCAAAAGAATTGGCAAATGCAGAAATTGTTAATTTTTCATTTAGAACCCCATTGCTTTATTGTAACAGTAAAGTGCTTGAGAAAATAATCTGAACATTAAGGGTTGATAGAATTAATTAATTCTTTTATACTCAATATGCAATACTCAATATACTCAATTTTATACTCAATATGCAATTGTTTTAGATATATTCAGAATGATGAAAAGCAGATTTGAAATTGCAATAAGGAATGCCAGATTGAAGAATATTTAAATGAAAAAAAAATCTACATTTAAGAGTAGAAAGATAAGAATAAAAGAATGTTAGCATTTTACAAAATCCTCTCTAATGAAGAATACTGCATTTACTTGCTTATTTCCTCCCCTTCCTTAATGTGTTCAGAAAGTGAGCTCTCCTAAATTTAAAAATGAGTTAATCCACACAGTACTTGTTTTTAAATTATTTAATCGTAGATTTGTAAGCAGAGGTTCTGACTGATGAAGCAGGAGCTTCAAGAAAACAGGGATATCTAATGCTCTTGGTGGTTCTGAATATCATTGTACAAGGGAAGACAGACTGAACAATGATGAACATGCTGACAATTTGCAAGCTATAACAGAGAGTACAGACAGGAGGTTCAACAGCAATGATTTGATGTCTAGGAAGTATCAGAGAAGAATAATAAGAGCATTCAAGAAGTAGAAATGAAGATACCTAATTAGGTACTGCAGTGTTAATATTACTATGCATTTTTACTGGAATGTGTTAATATTACTATGCATTACTGGAATACTTTTAAATAAATACTATTGCAAAGTTACTAGTAGTTTATGAGTACTTTTTACTGGGTTTGTACATGTTTCTGCACATGGAAGTTAAGCCCTTTTAAAGACGATTTATGGAAAAAAAACTCACGGTCCTATCAGCACATAAAAATTTAATAAATTCAGTTCTTGTTATCTATGCCTGAACTTCACTTTTGTAATACCATTCTAAGAATAAAATAGATCTGTAAACAGAATGCACTATTATTAAACTGTAAAGATTTATTTTATTCTAACCAATTATTTTTAGTTTTCTTTCCTTTCCCTCCTGATTTCAGTTTCCTGCCGGAATGTAAATTTTGTATTACGTAATATTCAAATTTAAACATGTTTCAGAAGCAGTATTTAAGCTACATGTCAAGAGTTCAATTATAGTAGTAATGGATTTAGTTCCAAGTTTATGCTGCATATTTGAATTTAGCTCTCTACCCGGTTTTAGACACATTTCAGTTTATACTGATATTCCTTGGCTCGGCTTTGCTACGTGCAGCTGATTTAGCGTTAGTTAAGCTAAGGAGCCAGTCATTAGATATCTTACTTTTAACTAGTGATGTGTTACATTCTTATTTTTTGTTAACTTACATAGCCACAAGTGCTGGTGATTTGTGAGCTGGTGTAAAACTACAAAATATGAATTATATTCAACTGCAGTTTATTATAACACCAAGATATTAAACCAAATCAAATCAAACTAAATAATAAAACCTAATCTCTTCTAGGTACTCAAATAACTTGGAACTGACCTCTTTCCCAATTATTCAATCATGAGATAAGCCAGAGAGGTTTAAACATTTCAGTGAATCCTGTTAAAATATGGACATTCTTTTAAAAATAGGTACACTGAGAGAACAGTATTTCAGTTTGAATAGGTTCAGTCTCAGCTTTGAAAAACTGATAATGGGTAATTCAGAGTGATGAGCTCTAAGGCAAGTTAAAATTACTTCTTTCTTCCAGTTTTTACAACTTCCTAATATTCTTACTTGTGCTTGATGCTTCGTAACTTGTTACTTACCTGAATGTTCCATAGTTGCTGTCATTCTGCTCGATAATCATATTGATATCTTTGAGAGGAAAAGGCTGACTGGCTGGAGAATTCCAGAGCAGATTTTCCTATAATGTCTACCAGTTTGTTTCTCTTAATACCTATTATGTCCAGAAATTCAGCAATAAAGAGTCTGATATCAACAAATAGTTAAATTAAAATACAATCTTAAGATTTCAACAATTACAGACTTCCACATATCAGAAAATACTTCTAGAGTTTTTAATTCACTATATGAGTCAGAATAAACAAACTCTTTCCGAGACAGCTTTGGTATGTTGAAAGGACGTAATACACAGCACCTAACTCCGAAGTGAGCACTAAGCATGCCTCATGTAACCATTTTCTCCTTTTATGGTTTCCCATTACAAAAGATGTTATGGTTCAAAAGAGTCAATATACAGACTCTTGACGAGAAATGTCCTGATGCTCTGAAACATTCCAGACAGCTTGGCGGTGAACAGGATCTAGTCTTGATAACACAGGTCATGCAAAGCCATAAACTACTGAACCACAGTCCAATTTCGAGCAAACAAATGCCCTGTAAATACAGAGCATGATCTGTTCCCCAGGAGGTGTTCAACAACACTTTTAGATGATTCAATGTCTTAAAGTATTTCTTCCTTAATTGTACCACATGTGAGACAAATATAAGTTTTCTGTCAAAGAACACTCCTAAAAAATTTACTTCAGATTTAAACAGAAACCACTGAAACATTAAAATGTAGCTCAGGCACAGGATAGAAATTCCACCTTTTGAAAACGTGTATAGAGACGGTCTTCTGACATGACCGATTTAAACCACGTTTAAATACACACAAAAAAAATTTGAAAAAAAAAAAAAAAAAAAAAAAAAAACCCACAGAAAAGAAACTACATTTCTTAGCATATCATCTTTAAGGGCTTGGTATACCGAGAAGCACAAAAGAGAAAGACTGTTTCTGAGCCAATGGACTAAATTTATAGTTTTTTTTTCAGGGGCAGGAGAGAGGTATTATTTGGTTTTTTTTTTTTTTTTTTTTTTTTTTTTTTTTTTTTTTTTTTTTTAGTTAGTACCAAATGAGTGTGGTTTTTGAATATGCTTTGAATTTTATTATTGCCACCCTTTTTTTGCTGTAATTTGGATTCTGGGATTTTTAACTTATTTTATTATATATATAATATGCCCGCACATAAATCCAATAATTTAATTAACAATTAAAAATTATGGAAGGAAGATATACAGTAACTTAATAAAACAACCTTTCATACATTTTGAAACATGAAAACATAAACATGAAAACATGAAAACAGTACAAAGTCCGGACTCGTCGGGACTTTGGAGATTCCGGATTAGGGGTTTTTCCGAATTATAGATCATCAATTTAAATCTGGTAAGATGGCATGCAGAAATTATAAAATTAAAAATATGAAACTGTAATTTATGAAATAAAGAGAAATTATAATCTAAAGGGTATCAAAAAAAAAAAAAAAAAAGAGAGAGAGAGAGAGAGGGGGGGGGGGGCTTAATATTTATTTGTTTACTTTATTAAAACATTTCTTTCAATGTAAGTTGTTTCATTTTTGTGCTAATACTTTCTCTTTAATTCTATATTAATTCTATAAACAGACATAATTTTTTGTTCAGTTACAAAGTTCCACTGTTCAAGTCCTGTAATTGCTGTGTCGAGAATACCAACTGACTTGTTAATCAAAATTTTTTCGATTTCAATAACTTCTCTGTCACTTTCTTTCACTATCGGAAGCGGTATGTCATATACTTTTAACTTTCCATTGTCATACTCCTCGCATAATTTTGAGACGTATATGCCTTTATCCATTTTTTGCAGCAATTCCACTTTTTGTTTGATGGACATCAAAACATGCTTTCGCTTTGCAGATCCTTTGGCAACTCCAGAATCGGAAACTCTTTTTGACATAACCGAAAGTTCAAGCTTACTTTTTATAAAATTGCTCTAACAGTCTGCAAAAAATAATAAGCCAGATCCAATTAGAAGATTAAGGAACAGCTCAATCTACAACATTAAACTGAAATAGATAATTATATAATTTTAGCTTAGCTTATACTATCCGTCATACATTAAACGCACATGCATAAACGCATATGCGCAAGCGTAAAAGTATTATGCGCATGCGCAGAAAGTTGGTAGCTTTGAGGTCCGAATTATATACATCATTCCAGATTATGGACGTCCTGATTAAAGACTTTGTACTGTACAAATTACATCATTATGCACTGGTGTATGAAACACCACGCATGAAAACACGCAGATAATGATAGTGATATCTGTACTTCATGCCACATTGCATTTTCACTAAATTTGTATTTTCTAAGCTAAAATACTGGTATTTTTGGTATTACCTACAAATAGTAAATATTCATTAAAGTAAAAGTAGCCCTCCTACAGCACGGCATCCTGTAACACGGTTTCGCTCTAATACGATAAGAAAATTGCCCAAGCAATATCCCCAGATAACAATGAAGAAACCTCACTATCGCAAAAGGTGAACAACATGACGTCACAATTAGCGCTTTAAAGCACACAACCTGCACATTCGGCTTCCAAGCTTCGAATCCTCGTCTCCATGGCCTGAAAACAAAAGTGTCTCACGCTGGTGGTCGGCGGTCTGCGTCAAGCCCCGGTGTGTTAAATTCATGTCTTTAGAAGTACAGATACAAATCTTGGACCCTCTTTTAAAAGGAGAAAAGGCATCTCACATTGGGAAAAGTTTTCATTGGAATGAAGAAACAGTCCGAACTATTAAGAAAAATGAAAAAGAAATAAGAAGTGCAGTTGCTGCAGAATCTTAGACATCTGCAAAACCTGCAGTTTGCTCTCGGAGGCGCCAATAATTGAGAAGATGGAAAAGGTACTTCGCATTTGGATTGATGATAGCTGTCAAAAAATTTTTTTGTTGGATGGTAATATCATTAAACAAAAAGCACCTCAAAGAACAAGGGAGAACCCTCTGTCAACCCAAATCTTCTGGTAAGTAAAAGTTGGTTTGAAAATTTCAAAAAGCGTTTTGCAATTCATAGCATAAGATCGGCTGATTATGAAGTTGCTAGGACGTTTCCTGAAAAGTTTCAAAATATTATGGAAGAACGAGGATACACAGCAGTTCAAGTTTTCGATGCCAACAGAACTGGGCTTTGGTGGAACAAAAATGCCCAGTAGAACCTTTATATTGAAGAAAAAAAAAAAAAAAAAAAACTGCATCCTTATTTAAGGTGTCTAAAAATTGTGTAACTCTATTTTTGTGCAGTATGACTGAACTTTATGACAAAACCCTTGTTAGTTTATAGATCTTTAAATCCTCGTGTACTTAAAGGCGTAAATAAAAATACCTTACCAGTATATTGGAAAGGAAATCCGAAAGCTTGGGTAGCTGGGACTATATATAAAGATAGGTTTTTAAACTGTTTTTTGCCAGAAGCTGAACATTATTTAAGGCAGAACGAGGTTAGCAATGTCAAATTTAATTAAGTTCATCTTAAGTTTCCACAAAAGCAGTTGTGAAAAGCATACACAAACATATCCAGAGGAATTCGTTGACGATGATATTGATGGTTAATATCGGAAAAGAATTCTCTCTCAAAAAGAAATTACAATTAGCTATAAGTAAGAAAATTGCCATAAACAATAATACAGAAAGTAGATTTATCCAAAACCATCAGACAAGAGACCGAGTTATTAGAAGATGATGGACTTTGAGTCAAATATTTAGAGATTACACTCGTTATTAACAGTACCACCAACCAGCATGAAAGCAGAAAAAGCATTTTCAACTGCAGGTAATTTGTGCACAACAATACGTTCCTGGCTTAATGGCAGTTTAGTAGATGCATTATGTTTTTTTTTTTTCTTTTTTTTATGATCACATTTCAAATATACAGTCCATAAATTAGTTTTTCTTTATTAATAGATATTACATAATAGACTACATGACAAGATTTTTATATGACATTTAATCTTCTTAATGCAACTAATTCATTCCTTTATTGCACTACAATGGTTTATTTTGTTCATATTATTAATATTTTACTATAACATTTGTTCCTTCATTTTATATTTGTACATAACAAAATTGTTTACACTTTTACAGTTTATGCATTTTTTGTAAAAACTAATAAATATGCCAAGGAAACAACTGTGTTTTTCTACCTTTTTTGGAAAATTCCAAATGCCAGTATTAACTAACTGGTATCCTACTACAATGTTTAAAAAAATAGCAACTACCGGTGATATATTTTTGGCCTGGTATTGCTACTACATGCACAAATACTGTCTTGACCTTCATATTGCTGGAGTGATTTTCAGCACAAAATATTTTCACAATCCATTTTTTACTATGGGCTCAAAATGAAGGGGAAAAAAAAACAGTATTAAAACTAATAATTTTTATTCAATATTAGTATTCCCACTCGTATGTGCTTTTTAGTAACACATTTCTTCCTTTAGCTCTACACTTCAGTTATGATACATAGTGGATATAGTGAAGCAGTCTTCAACAGTTCCTACAAGAGTTTCTGAAATGTTAAATAATGTAACATCATAAAAACACAGAATCATAGTACAAAATATTGAAGATAGCAATTATCTATCTTGTAACTTCTTCCCATTCTTTCAAAAACTATATATACTGCACAGTTTTTCCCATCTAATTTCAAAGCTTTCTGCTCTCTCTCTCTATATATAAAATGCAATACAAATAATGTATAATACAAATCATATTTAAACTAAACCCTGTGTATTTTTAATTCTTGACAGTTTTCACTCTTAAACATTACGTTTTCATGCAGACTTTTCAACATTTATGTTGACTTTAAGTTTTTCTGCAATTTAAATTTTAAATTTTTTATGTAGTTTAAATTTTTAATATTTCTGTAGCATTAATTTTTTATTTTTTTAAACATTCTTTCCATTGACTTTTTTTTTTTTTTTTTTAATAATTCAGACAGTTTTGATAAAATATACAGCAAAACAAACTAAAAATACAAGAAAGTATGGCAATGACTTTTTTGTTTACTGTAATATTTATATGAAACTTTGTAAATTTTTGAAAATAAATTCATGAAACCTATAGAAAAAATAGAATATTTTAGATGTATTAAAAAATGAGGTGCAGACCTGATAAATCAAAAAGACTAAAAATAACTACAAAATAATAAAATATGGAGGAATTTTTGGTAACTACATTCAGGGATCGCACTCAATATCTGTGCAATAACAAAAACTATAAGATACTGCCTCATTATCAGGGCTGGCACTACGCAATACGCCGCGCAGGGAAATTCCTTAAGCTCTTAAATTCTGCTGCCTGGTGCAGCTGCCCAGTTGCACTAGCCTTGCTCATTATAAAAAGGAAGTGCTGTTCACTTGAAAACACAGCACAGAAAACATATCATTCAAGTTATGCTTTCAATCCTGAACTGTTCGAGGAAATAAAAAATACTTACTTCAGTTGCATCAAGTTGAGCTTGCAGCCCTGATTTTGAACATGTAAGGCTAGAAATACTATTTCTTAAAGCGGAGGTTTCTTGTTGGTATATATCATTCAAAGTTGCCAACTCACGGGTAAGTGACTCATTAGAATCTTTCAACTTTTTAATCTCAGCCTCACTTTCTTTTGCCAGTTTGTCATATTCTTCCGTTTTTTGTCTGGAAATATTTCAATAAATAGATTTCAGACAAATTAAACTTATTCTAGATTAAAAACATAAACAAAACAATCTATAATTAAATTTCACATAAAATATGTAATTTCACAAAATAAAAGCAATCCTATATTACATGCATTTCCTTTAAAGAAATAATAAAACATTGTATACTGTGTTTTTCTAGAGAAGTTATTATGTAGAGAGGCTAACACCAGAAATATGTGTTGTGGGTGTAATTGCACAATTCATACTCTACTATTTTTCAGTTGTCAAATCAAAATGTAAAATGTATAGCTTATTTCTAGGTGTGCAAACTTTATCAAGACTGTGACTAATGGATTTGGTGAACTCCATATATATATATATATATAAAGGATACACTTAGGGCAATTAATCCAGCGGCATGATAATCTTAGTAGCTGTAATTATTGTTGACTGCATTTTATTGCATCAAACCTTTGCTGTCATCTAGTTTCTTGCTCTTGTATATTTTTCTTATGTACCTAAATAAATCTTTTTTGGTCTAGTAGAAATCTGACTTATTTAGCCCTTAACAATACATCATATTTCCAAGAAGTAAGCTATGCAAGTAAATGGCTGTACTGGTTGGAAATTATTTTATTAAGCAATGGGCAATGGTTAGTAATAAAAGTTGGTATGCTGTAGTGCCCTTCGATGGAATGAATTTTAATACTTAGATTAGGCATGCTTAAGTAGTTTTTGCTGTCAAAGAACTAGATTAGTTTTTAGGGAAACAGCCAGACTCAGTGAAGGATTCTGAAGACGTTAAAAGTAGGAAAGGTTATGCATTTCTGAAGCCTGTATTAAATGATCAAGTTCTAGCGTCACTGCTCGAGAAAAATTGATAGAAGAAATATGAAAGAAACTTTGTATACTATTTATGAGTCTAAAAGAGCACTGAATCAAATACTTACCAGGAAACACCTGGCAATCATAAGAAGATTTGTGAAATCCCTATACTACAAGCAAGGCATACTTATAATATGCATTATTACAAGTAACAATGTAAATTTTTGCAGATAAATAAAAAAATATTACCTTATCTACAACAAAGGCAAAATTTTATGCCATGCATCTCAGTAGGTCATTAGGGTCTGTTATTACAGTCATTAATTATTTGTACTATGCATGACCTATTATATATCCACACCTAAGTAAACTAATATTATCATTATTGTTCTGAAAGTTTTATATGGTCTGATTCAGTAGAATATATTGCAAGCAACCACAGTCTGCTGATATTTTATTGTAAGAAATCACAGTATAATGCTGCATCTAGTTTTCCTAATAAAAACTAAACTATCAGGAACATTTTTTCACTATATAAGAGATTTCACACTATTAAGTACAAATCATTCAGCCAGGCAATACCACAGACACAAGTAGATAATTCAGTTTGTGATACTCATTCGCAACAGCTGCACGAGTTTCAAGAGAGAGGCAAAATAATAAGTTTTGGGAGAACACCGATCAGAATTAAAATCATTAAAGTTGAATGTTTTGGTGATTGATCAAGGCTTTACAGAAATCAGTATCTTCGAGTGAAGAAATATTTGGGCAATTTTATTGAAATTAAATAATTGTTTAGGAATAAACAATAATTAATTATGGAAGATTTATTTACAATCTTTTTATAGAAATAAACTGTGTATTCTTTAATACAAAATTTTAATGTTTACTTAAGTTGATCGATACATATTAATAAACCACACTGCTACAGAATACTATAAATTCCACAAAAATTAAAACCTGAAATAGGATTTTTTGAGTTTGAGCAATGAGTTTCAACAGTACAAGAAACAACTTGGAGATTGAACTTGTGAGGCGACCAAATAATTTTGTAAAATACAGTCAAAAGTCGTCAATTCGGACACCCATAATCCGGATCTCAAAGCTACAAACTTTCTGCGCATGCGTCGCATTGGCTGTGATGGACCTTTATGGCTGCGAACATGCGTGTGCGCATGCCCAAAATATGTTTACGCATGCGCGTTTAATGTATAACAGATGGTATAAGCTAAGCTAAAATTATCTAATTCAGTTAATGTTGCAGATTGCGTTGTTCCTTAATCTTCGAATTGGATCCGGCTTATTATTTTTGCAGACTGTTAGACCAATTTTATAAAAGTAAGCTTGAACTTTCGATTATGTCAAATAGAATTTCTGATATATATTTTCTAATATATAAAGGATCTACAAAGCGAAAGTATGTTTCAAAGTCCATTAAACAAAAAGTGGAATTGCTGCAAAAAATGGATAAAGGCATATCCTTTGTTTATCTAACCATTCCGAAATCTGTTTATCAATTTCACGCTGCTCTGTGGCGGGGGGGACGCCGCGGCACGCAATGAATTGGAAGTTGATCTGTCAACACTATCCTTATCTTCAAGGCAGATGTTTTTATTTTATTTGGCTTATAATGCCTTACTAAATGTAGTATTTCATCTGGATGTACTCCATCTTTGATATGATTTAAATCAAATTCCTTGTCATTATAATTCGCTTCTGATAGTGAAGAAAGTAAAGTAAACAAATAAACATTAAGCTTTTGTTTTTTTTTGTAAATTTTGATACCCTTTAGATCATAATAGTTCTTTATTTCATAAATTACGGTTTCATATTTTTAATTTTATAATTTCTGCATGCCATCTTAACAGATTTAAACTGATGATCTATAATCCGGAAAAATCGATAATCTGGAATCACCGAAGTTCCGACGAGTCCGGATTAACAACTTTTGACTGTATATGAAATGGAACAACAAGAATACTGTGATTTTTTTCTTAAATAGAAGAATGTTCTTAACATTAGTGAAAATATTTTTTTTAAAACTTTTTGAATAAGAAAAGGAGAAAAGTTCCATTAATATATGAATAGCCTTCATATAACTCAGTTCTTAAGAAAATAATGGCTGTGAGGAACAAACCTCACAGCCTTCAAACAAACCTCACTTCTCAAGTCATAAAAATGGGGGAAGAAAAAAAAATATAATAGAAGGTCCCTCTCACCAACTCCAATGACAAAATTTGGCATGACAAAGATGGCAAAATCAGAAAAGTGTTTATAATAAGCTGCAAGCTTGCTATCAAATTTACAGCATACTATTTGAATGTCAAGGAAAAGAAGAGTTAAGAAATTCACTTTCAGTCATGAACTTAATTGCTTAATCAAGAGAATTCTTAACGGATGAAATATTTAAGATACAATAACATGCCAAACAAGTATTAATTTAGAAGTCAAACAACAAAAACCAGCATTATATATTCAAATTTTCACAGTAACAATGTTTAATGATTTTAATGGTTTTAGTAAACCATCACCCTCAGCTGAAAAAGCACTAATGAACAAGATAAGATATAATGATTAGATAAGATAAGAAAGACTGAACAGGAGTTAAGCTACTGGTGCCATTTATTGAGAAACAAGAACTAAAGCATAGTTTCTTTAAAGGCTGAAGGCAAAGATGGATTGGAATTAGAGTCGTTAACTAGAACAGAAAGATTTTTTTGAATTTGAAATGCCTCTAGAAAATCTAATTCACCAATGGAAGATGTTTTTGAATAATTTTGGCAGCAAGAAAATTGAAAGTGTGATTTTCGGACCAATAATACTGAGCAACAGAGGACTTCTGTGTTTCCTTTTTTTCTAACATTTGCCTAGTGTTCCTTAATGTGAAATTTTAAGGCTCTCTTAGTTTGACCAATACAAATTAAACCACACTGGCAAGGAATCCTTTAAATACTCCAGGAATTCATATCCGTAATGCGGTCCTTGAGTATGGAACTTTGTATTTTATCGATGGGAGAATAAACAACCCATAAGTTAAATTTCTGTAAAATAAGTGCAACTTTATAGGTAAGTGAAGGAATGACAACAGAATTCTTATAATCTCCTAAAATAAGAGTGTTCCTTTTAGTATGCTGAGATGAGAATTTTTTAACTGCTTGATTAATAATGTTGGGTGAAAAAACCCTGTCAATTTCTTTTTTGTGTGCTTTCAATTATTTAGTTCTTCATCAAGAGACAGTTTGAAGCTCCTCCAAACTGATCACTATATCTTATCTCGTTCATTTATGCTTTTGCAGAGGATGATGATCGGTAAAACCATCGAAACTAGTTCTGTGAAAATTTGAAAATATACCGCTGATTTTTGTTATTTGACTTTTAAATTAATAAGATGAGATACTTATTAAGCCATCTAGTATCTTGCGGTCATAAATACAGAAAAGCTACAATAAGTCCTCCATCACCACCAATGACAAAATTTGACATGGGAAAGATGGCAAAATCAAAAAAGTTTTTATAATAAACTGCAGCCCTGATATTATATTTATAGCATACATGACAAGAAAAGAATCAGTTAAGAAATTCAGTTTCAGTCATGAACTTAACTGCTTAATCAAGAGAATCCTTAGGAGATGAGCTATTTATTAAGCCCATATTGTGGTCGTAAATACAGAAAAGCTATAGGTTTTTAAAACTAATCTGATCATAAAATAGTGCATGTAAATAATCATGAAAGTATCTTTTTCTAGTATCTGAATACAGCCAGCATCCACTAACAATCACACTAACCTGAGTGGCCTTATTATTATTTACAGAGGAGGGGAGAATCTTACAAATTATATAGTCTGTTGAAAACCTTTAGCCTAACGTCCTTATTATTCTTTCCATTACACATATTATAACAATACACCAAAAAAGGTCTTTTCATTTTCTCACTTCAAAGTGTTTTCCAGTCTATTGATCTGCGATGAAGCTTCTTCAGACTGAGAAGACTTTATTTCAACATCTTTATATAGAAGAGAATTTGTGGCTTCCAAGGCAGCAATTCTTTGATTGTAAGCTTGAAGTTCCTGTTTAAGAGTTGAATTCTGCTCTAATGTTTTATTAAAATGCTCTTCCATGTCTTGAATTCTGCCTTTCAAATCCCAAGCTGGTCTTTTTGATTTTAAACCACCCTTTATTTTAGCTGTTGGAAGAACAGCAGGCATGCTCCCTCTGATTAACTCATTATCTGGTAATGGCTGAAGAACAGCTGGAAAATGTAAAAGCATAAATTAAAATAAATGAGAAATATATTACTGAATGTATTCTAAGCATTATGTGAAAGATAAGTAATATAAACATTTAATAATACATATAATATCTTAGCTAGAACAGATTTTATTATTCTAATTCCGAAACATTGTTAATTGGCTACTATTTTATGCAATTCTCAGTGCACTGACATTTTCAAAAATGGCTTTTGTCTTTCACATCTTAAATTAGTTGCCAACAGTTAGCAACATTTTGGGAGGTAACTGCAGCTAATAAGAAAGTACCAAAATATTTTATTTCAGGAAGAAGAAATATATTTCTTTTAAAAAATTGAATGCAATGAAAATTGAAATTGTTGTTGTGAGGAATTCATCAAATGTGAAGAGCATGCTTTTAATCAATCCAATTTGTCTACTCTTATATTACTAGCAAGTTTATGGAATATCCATTTATCCATTCTTTTTAACTTGACTAATGGCATGCAAATGCCTTAATATCACAGTGTTGCTAGCGTTTAATAAAAGTTCTCTAAAACAGTGGTCCCAAACTAGTAGCTTCCAAGGCAATTTTAAGTAGCCCACAAAGACATTTGAGTTATGGCATTGCAAAAATTAGTTATTTGAAGTCAGAGTTTACATTATTTTCATTTCCATTAAAAATGAACAAACCACTAGAAAATCTATAAATTGAACTAATTAATTTAAAATATTTAAAATTAATTTAAAATAGATAAATAACTTATTTAAAGATTTGGAAAACATATGTTATGAATTCATATTCATCGAAAAATAATTTCTAATCAGGAAAATCATGAACACAGCATTTTAATCAGCATGCTGTGAATCACAGCATTTTAATCATGAAAGTCTTAGTTCACCATAGATGTTTGAGGAAATTTTTTTTCAAAAAAAGTTCTGAAGACTTTTTTTTTTTTTGGGGGGGGGGGTTCCAAAGAAGAAAGACTTGTGGTTGATCCCCCCATCAAAATCAATAGTCATTCAAACTAAAGTTGCTCTTTTGTATAATTCTAAAATAAACTAAGGTATTCAAATCTACATCAAACTAATGTTGCTTTTTTTGCCAATCTAAAATGGTTGACTAAAATTGAAATCAAACTATTTGGCGACTTAACCCCTCACTTGATATTTCTCTGCCACTTGGCAATTTTTACAATCTATTTTGATCTTATTTGGTGAATTTATCTTTTATTCGGTCACCTAAGTTTTTTTTTTTTAAATATTCTATAAGAGTGGATCATATTAACTGAATTGTTGATTATAATAAGAAATGTATTTTCCATATTATTATATATAAATGGGTGGGACTTTGGCAGATCAGTAATAATATCAAAATGACAACATTAATCATCCTCACATTAAACAGTGTCTGCTGTATTTTCATTTGTACGTCAAAGAATAATTTAATGAATAAGAGAAAAAGACTAGGTTGTAAATATTTATTCTCAAGTTTTGTATTACTTGGTAAATTTTCCCCAGAAAATTTTCATAATTCATTAATTTTTAGTTTAAGATATTTGATGATTAATTAAACACGTTAAACTACTATTTGAAAGAAATGTCAGGCTAAGAATTTAATATTTCACAATCTCAGTATATTTTAATCATAATCACAAACTGTAACCAAAAAAGGGGGGCAGTTCTATATCTTCCATTCTACTGGACCGATTGACGAAATTCAACTTGCGTTTTTCATGTCTCGAAAGCGCAACTTAGAGTATGTATTAGATTTATATATAGCATTGTTATAATACACTGAAGTGACAAAAGTCATGGGATACCTCCTAATATTTTGTCGGTCCTCCTTTTGCCCGGCGAAGTGCAGCAAATCAACATGGCAGGGACTCAACAAGTCGTTGGAAGTCCCCTGCAGGAATATTGAGCCATGCTGCCTCTATAGACGTCCATAATTGTGAAAGTATTGACGGTGCAGGGTTTTGGGCACGAACTGACCTCTCGATGATGTCCCATAAATGTTGGATGGGATTCATGTCGGGCGATCTAGATTGCCAGATCATTCACTGGAATTGTCCAGAATGTTCTTCTAACCAATCGCGAACAATTGTGGCCGGTGACATGGCGCATTGTCATCCATAAAAATTGTTGTTTGAGTATGTGAAGTCCATGAATGGCTGTACGTGATCTCCAAGTAGCTGAAGGTATCCATTCATTTTTAGTCAATGATCGTTCAGTTGCACCAGAGGACTGAGTCCATGCCATGTAAAAACAGCCCAGACCATTATGGAACCACCACCAGCTTAAACAGTGCTTTGTTGACAACTTGGGTCCATGGCTTCGTGGGGTCTGCGGCACATTCGAACCCTACCATCAGCTCTTACCAACTGAAATCGTGACTCATCTGACCAAGCCACGGTTTTCCATTCGTTTAGGGACCAACCGATATGCTCACGAGCCCATGAGAGTCGCTGCAGGCGATGTCGTGCTGTCAGTAAAGGCACTCGAGTCGGTCTTCTGCTGGCATAGCCCAAGGAAGACAAATTTCGCCGCACTGTCCTATCGGACACGCCCCACATTGATTTCTGCGGTTATTTGACACAGTGTAGCTTGTCTGTGAACATTGACAACTCTACGCAGACGTCGCTGGTCTCAGTCGTTAAGTGCAGGTGGTCGGCCACTGCGCTGTCCATGGTGGGATGTTATGCCTGAAATTAGATACTCTCGGCACACTCTTGACACTATGGATCTTGGAATGTTGAATTCCCTAACGATATCCAAAATGGAATGACCCATGCGTCTAGCTCCAACTACCATTCAGCGTTCAAAGTCTGTTAATTCTCGTCGTGCGGCCATAATCACGTCAAAGCCTCTTCACATGAATAACTTGAACACAAATGAAAGCCCTGCCAAAGCACTTCGCATTTATACATTTTCTACGCGATACTACTGCCATCTGTATATTTGCATATTGCTATCCCATGACTTTTGTCACTTCAGTGTATACGCATTTTGACACAAAATCAGACTTTTTCTAAAATAACATACCTTTTTTTCCCCATATTTTGACTCTACAACTCAAATTATGCCAGACTGCAAAGTTTTGTAAAAATCGCACAAGTAGTTTTTAAAAAATTAACTCTCAAAATTGTAGCTCCTCAATGTTAAATGAGTTTGGTATATATTTAGCAATATCTCTTTTTTGGTCATATTTGAAGATAAGTGACATTTTATTTATGTTTTACCAACAGTTAAATTTTTTGTTGATTTTTTTTTTTTTTTTTTTTTTTTTTTTTTTTGTTTTGTTTTGTATGTGTGTGTGTGTGTGGTTTCATTTTTGTCATATACTTGCTCAGTCTAGAGGTTTAGTAAATAGCAGATAGATTTTATGTCCAAGCAGCATTATACCTTGTTTATTTTTCAGATTCAAAATGGAACTTTATAATATGACAGCAAAAAATAAAAATGTTTTATTTAAATGTTATTTTTTAAATCTAATTTAAAAAAATTACTATTATTTTAATGAAATTTATGAACGTTACAATGGGGGGGGAACAGATCTCAGAAATAAAAATTTTTTTTACACAAACTGATCTTAGGATCGCCAAAATGTTAACAAGTTGCCAAATTTAGAACCGTTAAATAAAAGAACTCACATCACCAAAAGTGAAATGCTGTTTAAGAGCTCTTCATTAGAAAAAATGAATTTCAAAATGCTTATGTTTCACTTCTAACTTAGAAACTTGAGTATCTCACCATTTATATTAGAAATGGAACAAATTACAACCCATGAACCTATTCAAAAGATAACCATATGTCAGTGAATCACCAAAAATATTCCTCCAAAATGCTAATTCACATTCAAAATGGCAGTTGTAAAAACAGACAGAAATTTCAGAAGATTAAAATTAAGGACATTCTGCCGATTTTGGCCAAAATTAAGGACCGAAAATCAATTCCAAAAAACCTAAGGACTCTTAATGAACGTACGAACCCTGTAATTACATCAAATGCGGTTTAGGCACTTTGTTAAAATTATTTGAAAGGAAAATGATGTGACTTTTTCCCCCGCTCATGCACAAAGTAAAAAGGTAGGAACAATGTGACCTTTTTTTTTTGTCCTTCACAATCGAAGGGAATCTCTGAATATCTTAAAGAGCAGTTGTTGACTTTATGTAATTGGCATAAACATATATTGTATTAAAAAATATTTTTATCATTTGAAATAATTGAGTAGATAAATTTTGCCATACAAATTGAAAAACATCAAGAAAATATATTTATAAATACTTCACTTTTTTTTAAAGCAGAAGTTAACCAAAATCTAGCTCTATTTCAAAACGAATATTCCTTTCTCGTGATTCCAATACTGAAGCACAGTAAATGTTGCATACATAATGTTTATTTACACTATAAACCATTAAAACTCAATAAGAAAGGAAGCATCTAACACTGAACAAAAATATGCATGTTGTGCGATCAATGGGAAAACATGTAATTAAGTGTGTAGCAGATATTAAAATTATGCATGACACTGGCATGAAAAAAATTAGGTAAATGCACAGACAGCACCAAAGAATTAAACTAATGTACTGAATAATAGGTCTTCCTCACAAAAATATGCAGTTAGCCTGTTAAAAAATACTGCAGCCGCCCAACCGGGATAGTGATTAGTGACGCTGACTGCCCTAGTGAAGGGCCTAGGGTTCAAATCCCAGAGAAGGCATGGATGTTTTTAAATGTATACTGTCTGTGCAGCATGAGAACACTCTAAATATTCAGCGAGCTAAAAGTCCTCTCGAGAGGTTGGTGGTAGGGATGAGGGGTGGAAGATCCTTGGGCCTGCTCCCCGGTGCTCTCCTTCAAAACTGGGAGCAGAACTGAATGAAGTCGTACAGTCACCTGTATGGTGCTCTAGGCTCTTGCCAATGACAGGTGCCCTCTTGCTATCTTTGCCACCATGAAATCTGTGGGCTTATTCTGATGTTACTGTTTGACAAGGGAGATAAGTCACAGCACATAAATT